TTTTTCATATATTTAATGATCATATTATTTTATTGATCGTTCAGTATTTTTTTATTTATCAATTAAATACAAGCCTTCGAAAAACTCTTCGGTTTCAAAAAAATCCAAATTATTTCCTTTCACATTCTTCTAACCTTTTAAAAATATTTTTTTCGGATTCAGCATTAAAAACTGAGTATGAGAATGATTTTTGATCGAGGGTGAAGTCATGACTTCACCCTCGATCAAAAATCATTCTCATACTCAGTTTTTAATGCTGAATCCGAAAAAAATATTTTTAAAAGGTTAGAAGAATGTGAAAGGAAATAATTTGGATTTTTTTGAAACCGAAGAGTTTTTTGAAATTTGAGACCCTTCTAGTATTTTGAAGTTTTTTCATTCAAAAACCAACTTTTTAAAGCCAAAATGTAGATGCGCTTAATCAGCTCGCCAAGCTCTATCGATTGATGTATAATTAAGTCAGAAATAAAATGGTGTGAAAAATTCGAATTAGGGGCACCTTAGTATCAATAGATCAATTTTTTTGAGGAATCAATAGTGGAAAGTGTGCTCGCCGAAATTGCAAGCCAGTGAGACTCTTGTTTTCGATGGTTTAGTCCGAGCATGGGATTTCTGAACTGTTGGGCATCTCAAATATGGCTGGAACGGAGTATGAAATCCTTGCTTCACTTCTGTTTCGAAGCGACTTGTAGAATTGTTCTAGATAAACATGACAGACCAGAATCAAAAAAGGGAAATACAAGATGGTAACAAACGAATAAAAAAAGTGGTCTAAATCAACAAAAGAAGAAACATAGAAAAAGTCGAAGGATGGAGACAGTGAAAATAATAAAGAGTCAGCAAAGGTGGACGTTGGTCCTGATTTTAGTGTTATTTTCTTTAAGCTCTCCTCTGCTGAAATTTTGTTGAATTCGTCTAACAAACTCAATATATCTGAACTTACTCTTAGAAGCACCGCCACCGGAAGTATACGAGACTATTCAAGAAATTCTATTGAACAACTGCCGACTATTCATGCCAATAAGGTCCGAAATATGATAAGCAAAGGTGCAGTTAAACTGAGATAACTTTCTTTCGATACAGATTATGAACAAGAAATTAAACAATCAACATCTCCAGAATTATGTTAAAAAAAATTTACGATAGAAGATTTAACATTATCAAATGAAATAAAACGAATATCAACTAATCTTATTGAACTGTGTTCAAATCAACTTTCATTGCTAACTCGTCATTGCAACTCGTCGAAATATTATTTTTGTTCAATATTACTTTGTTACATCATAACGGTTAATAAAATTTTAAAAAAATCAAATGCGAAAAAAGATTTTTTAGCTGAAAAACTAACAAATTATACATCATTCGATGCAGTTTTTTTTACTGATACTGAATATGACATCACTTTTTGTTGAAAGTATTTCTGAACTGAGAAAAATGAATTTTACCTACAAAAACCGAGTTTTCTTTGGAATAATAAGATTTTCTGGAAAACCTGTACCTAATTCTAGGAAAAGAGTTGCATAAAGTTGGATGCACCATAGATGCGGGGGATGTCGCGGAACATTTTGGTATAAGTCGGAGTCAGATTAGAGTTTACGAAAACATAGGAACCTAAATATATTCGTAGTGTCTTTTCGACAGAGGGTTTGTTCGGAAATTTTTTTTCCAAAGCTCATAACAATAAATCAAACAGAACTGGTTCTTGATCAGTAAATGAAAGTGTACAGGTTCAGAATATATAGAGTTTAAAATTTTAAAGATGCTTAGTCCAATAGAAATACCATTTTCGTGGAGGTCGCTAGTATATAGGCTGTTCTTTTTATAATAAATTTTTCCCGAAAGTTTGCCACTTGCAATAAAAGAATTTATGCCATTAGACAGATCGTCCATCGAAGTATATTTAACACTATCTGAATAAAAAACACACTTTCAATTTTTCGTCAAATGTCCGCCTAGATGCCCACTGTGTGATTATCCTTTATCAAAGTACAGTATCAGGAACAATTCAGCGATTCGTGGTCGAAAATGAAGAGTAAAAGAATACCTTTTGATATCTATAAACTTCACTTTGGATGACTCATTATGAATTAGACTGAACTGCTTGGCAGAGCTCTTTTCTATTATCTCAAACTATATTAATGAAAAATAGTTATGCTTTGCATACTACATCGGACGATCTTTTTAATAGATTTCGCACTACTTCAGAAAGATATTCCAATTTACACCCCTAATATTCTATCCCTATTTTTGCTCTGATTGCCTAAATAGAAAGGTTTATGGCTCTTTAACAAACAAAATCTCTCTTACCCTTTTGGGGCTCCAAAGAGCATTATTCTTTTTTCGGTCAGATTGTGTGATCTTTTCGTATATCCAATTCAAAATGCAGCACTGCTAATTATTGATATGCTTTTTATCGAGAAGAAAGAACCTTGGTCTCTCTACTTCCTTAATTGATATGAAGTAAAACGGATGGATGGTTTTTTATCATTGTTGTTACCTTCTCTGTGGAAATAATTGGTTCTTTTTCGACATGATTCTACCGACAAGGAAAGATGCGAAACTAATTCTATGAGTAACATGACTGCAATTTCAAACACAGAACTCAGTACAAAGATAATTGATTTTAACTTTTATCGGTTCACTTTCTTGCTAATTGAAAGTTACAGATGCCGTTACTAATGATGTTGATTGTAAAAAGAAAAGCATAATATAAGTAATTGTCCATAGTTATACCTCTATATTTTTTTCGCTCCACCAACCTTCCTTGACAGTATATAGAAAATTCATTGAATTAATTTTACGATACACTGCAATGTAACGGGTGTATTAGAAGAAATGGGTTACTTACTATTTCGCCAATATCTATATCAACTTCTATTGCCAAGACTTAAACTTCTTTTTAAAAGATTCCCTATTCAATTCTCTACAAAAACTATATTGAACAATTTTTATACATGGATAAATAACAGAATATGGATGAAACATTGCGAAGCTTCAATGACCATTTTGTAGTCCTTGAAAAGCTCTGTCAACTGGTTGTATTAAACTTTTCATCATTACGACTGGTGATGGGAGAATGCCTTTTCTTTTATCGATTTTAACAAAAATCATCGGGATTAAACCCCAATTTTGGAGCACATAAAAAAACTTTTATAAATCGGTTAAAGTAGAACATTTTGGAGCCGGGGTTGGCGCATCTTAAAATAAAATAATTCTTTTATTGCATCAGAACAGGAAATGTTCAATGACTGCACTCCTTCTGTTGTACCAAGGCGAACAAGTCAAAATTTCTTTCTTTTCTAGTGAATTTTACTAAAATCGTTGTCTGTGTAGTAAAACGCTTTTTAAACTAATCTGTGATAGATGAAAAGAAAGGCAACAGTTCAGAGCACCAGAAGATATATTTTGCTTTTGCTTTTCATGCATAGCACTGTCTTCAAAATAAATGTTTTTACGTTGAGTTTTGAGTTACAAAGTACTGGAGATTATACTGGCTTTTACAGATGTTAAGCCAGTTACATTTATTTTATTGTGTTCTCAATATGCTAGAGAGTCGATTTCTTTTATGAAGAAAAGTCTTAGCTTAAAAAAGTGTAAGTCGAAAGCCCAGAGAACTTTATAAATGCTTTCATACGAGAATTATGCTGCTTTCAGTGAGAATTATGCATAGAATCTCGCAGATATTTTGCTCGCTTCACGAGAATTTTGTATCTCCTCATATAAACTTTCTTGTCTATGTCACGAGAATTATGCTGTTTTCTTATTAATAAATTAAGAATTATCCATCAGAGCATATTTCTCTTGTAAATCCATTATTTCCGTGACGTAGAGCAAAGAGTTGTAAAGTATCATCATATCTGCCACATTGTGCATAAGTCTCGCACACAGCAGCATAATTCTCGTACATGGGTACCACAAATGGTAAAATTGACATTCCGCAGTTTTGTCGCCACTTAGACGTAACTTAGGCTAGTTTCCTAGCAAAATTGTCGTTGCACGAACATAATTTCGCTTTGACGAGTTTTCTTTCACCGCTGCCAAATCCACCCGCAACCAACACTTCTCCATTTGTTAATACAACTGCTCTGTGCTCATATAGTTCAATATTCATGCTCTTAGTAGTTGTCCAAGCTTCTGTTGACGGATCATACAACTCAGCAGTATTTGGAGCACCAACTCCACCAGTAACTAACACTTTTCTATTTGTTAATATGGATGCTGTGTGCGCATATCGTGCACTACAGCCCGAAATTAATTTCTTCTTATGTCTGTAGGTTTGAGCTGTCAATGAACATTTAGATAAAATTCTAAATGTTCATTGACAGCTCAAACCTACAGACATAAG